AGTTTTTAATTAGGTATTTCCCATACTTATTTGTTCATGGTGCCCTATTTGTTGTTATGTTACTGTTTTTTTAAATAATAACTCTTAACATCTTGGCCAAGCCATGGATAAATAAATGTTAAACCATAGCATGGTAATACAAGTATAAAGCCACATGAAATCTCTTAATCTCATTTGTAATGTGAGGATACTCTTACACCAACTTCATAAGGTGAAGATTACAATTAATGAGTCAATGTTTGTAAACCATGTAAAACAGTTTAACACAGCAGTATTTACAAATCATTAAAAACAAAATACAAATACAACAAACTGATCTACAAAAGAATTTATCTGTATCTTTAAGTCAATTCTTAACAGAGTCATTTCCCAGAGAGAAGAAAACCACTTCTCAACAATGTTTTCACGCAAACATTTTGCTGATTCATTAAAACCCTGACCTAAAATAAGACAGAAATGTTCAATTTTTGTCAAGTCAGGTTTCTTCATTCTACCAGCGAAGAAGGGAATGATTTTTACAAGTTTGTGCTGAAATAAAAAAAAAAGATGGAGGCTCCTGTACATCAAGAGCATGAGGTTTAGAGCCCTGACCCTGCACTCTAGCCATGACCTGGATGGCAGGCTATTTACTGCTGCAAAGCTCAGCCTCCCTAACTATAAAATGTGGACACTAACAGTGCCTATCATCACAGGTTGATGTGGAGAGTGAACATATAAATAATAATAACAACACATAATAAATATTGAGATAAAAACTTAATTCCACAGCTATGCAGCAAATGACTGGGCCTGCTTTTGAACCCATGCAGTTAAGTACTAGAGCTCCTGCCTTCACTGTGTCCTCCTCATTGGTGAGAGTAAATACTCAGCACAGCACCATCCCCTAGGAGCTGCTATTGTTATTACTGTCACTAATTTTTAAAAAAAATCCTTATCCGAGGATGTTTTTTATTGATTTTTAGACAGAGAGGGAGAGAGAAAGAGAAATGTGAGAGAGAAACATCAACTGGTTGCCTTCCATATGTGCCCTGACTGGGGGTTGAACCCGTACCCTTTTGGTGCATGGGATGATGCTCCCACCAACTTGTGCCGCCCAGCCAGGGTAGTCACTGATTTTAAAGGTCCGAGAAATAGAATGACATTTTAGAGCTTTAAGTGCTCTAGAGGTGTAAGGACTGTGGGAGAATTTCTTTAAAGTCTTTGATTTCCCACCCCTGCTCTCTTCTTTAACTATTGTCAGGGTGTCCAGAGAAGCTCCTTTTCCATGGAAAAAGGTGCATTTGGTAGCACAGCTGTATCTTGTGAATTAACCCTTCCCATTGAAGCTGAGTGACAATATACTCTCATTTTGACCCAGCACTGAATTGTAAGTTCTAGTCACTTGCTTTTTCTTATAAGCAGAAGTGACCTAACTGCATAGTTATGAGAGAGAGAGAGAGAGAGAGAGAGAGAGAGAGAGAGAGAGAGAGAGAAATTTAAAAAAAACCCTGGCTTTTACAAACTCATTTGTGGCTGCTCAGTGATCAAGCCTTCTCACCTTGTCAAGACAGCTTTTAGGAATTCTCTGAGTTTGTCTGTGTTGTGCCACCCCAGTAGCTTGTTATCTTTGCAGCTTAAAAGGCTGACTTGGAAATTCAGACTGTCAACTATTTCAAGAAAATGGAAGTCTTCACTTCACTATTTTAATTAACTTTCAGAGACTGAGGTTTCCTACTGGTTATGATAATATTAACTTAAAATATTCTTAAGGAAACAGGGCAGGAAGCAGAGTAAGAACAGGAGGACTGCTGTTTTTAAAGGCACTCTGGGAAAAGGAGTTGAACAAAGCCACAAAAGCAAAGGCTATGTGGAGAAGAGAAAGAAGAGGCATAGGTGGATCTCAAGGAGCATGAACAATAGAGAATGGAAATGAAAATGTATAATACAGATTAAGTACAGCCTTGAATGTCAGGTTAGGGTGTGGGACAGTGGAATGAGAAACTAAGAGATTGTTGGAATCAACAGCAAAGATCAAGTTTATGTCTTAGGAAACTAACTGGGGTTATGTGCAAGGGGTGGTGTGCAATGGGATCAGAACTAATCTGGGGACTCACTGGCCTTGGGACAAAGTCTGTTTAGGCCTACAATTATCATCTATTCATTTGTTAAATGGCAATGATAACAGTTATATAAAGACTGAATGAAATCAGAGATGGATGTTTTAAATATTGTCATAGAAAGCACTCAAACAAACAATATACACACATATACTTTTGTGGTCAGGTCAGGTGAAGGAAAGTGTCTGAGCAAGCTGGGGTTCTGATAAAAAGGGCAAAAAAAGAGGAGCTGACAGGGAGAAAAGGATGGAAGGACAGAAGGACAATCTTCAGAGATGACCGAGAGACTGGTGATGTTATTCAAGGGCAGACAGTGGAAGAAGAGGTGGTCTGGGTGCTGGGATGCTGATGGGATCAGCTTGGGAAATACTGAATTTGAGAAAGAGGGAGATATTCACAAGGACTGGTTAGACTAGAGCTGTAAGACTGTGTTCAATTCATTTTAATTGAAAAAGCCAAGTTGCACTGACCTAGGAAAGTATCTGGGGAGAGCTTCTGGCCCATATTAAAAGGTCCGGGTAAACTCTGTGAAGTTCTACAAGCCAAAAGCTGCAGTCACCTACATGTGAACAAAAATACTGTGGAATTTAGAATTGTCCCCTAGGTAGTCTTGCTAGAAAGCAAGTTCCCTGGAAGGAAGACCTTGCCCTTGTAAGTCTGCATCCTCAGAGCCAAGGCTGGTGCTGTCAAATTTCAGGCATCCACTAGATGTTACTGGATAGAGTTATGAGTTTTGTCTGATTTTAATTTAGTGGTATCAGGGCTGAGTACATTTCATTTAGCACTTTACCTCCTTTAAGGAATGTCCCTTCGTTTATTCCCACCTGAGAACACTTAAGAAAATAACCACTGTTAACTACAATCCTAAGACATGAAGTTGTTGTCCACCACAGCATTTTTCATATTAGCAATAAAGTGAGAAATAGTTCATATTTGAAACAACAGGGGAGGGGAGTGACATGTCCATCAATTTGATGGAATATTAACCTGGCAATTGCAGAAACTATTCTAAGGACTTTGTAAATTTTAATTCATTTAATCCTCATAGCAATCCTATGGGAAGTATACTATTATTATAAGTCCCATTTTACAGATGAAGAGACTGAGGCCCAGGAAAGACAAATGGCTCCCTCCAGGTCATGTTGCTACTTTTTGATTCCCAGTGCCATGCTCCTACTGGTCAGCATTATTTAGACAATTTCAAACCTGTGTCCCGCATTTCTTCAGGCTAGTAATCACTCAGGAACCCACCAGGAACAAACAGAAGTTAAGAAAATGGGTTGGTTTGGACTTGGCCAGACTAACTTGCTAACCCTTAAGTACTAGGGCTAAAAGGTCTGGACGACCACGGGAATGTCCCTTCTAAAACTTCTTCCTCTTCTGAGGAGAGTTTTTGGAGTCAACCTTTTTCTTCTATTCTTCCCCCTGACATGTTATCATGGCTTCTCCAGACCCACCTTAGTCCCAAAAATCTCTTCAGAGGTTGCCAAGAGATTACACAGGTTGATGATAATGATCAGGGCAATAATGATACTGTAACAATAATAATAGCCAAAGTGTATAGAGAGTTTGATGAGTGCAAGATGCTGCCTTAGGAAATATTTACATACATTTGATCCCAAAACAGTGGTCCAGGATGGGTGCCCTTTTCCTGATGAGGAAACAAGGCTCAGAGAGCCTGGGAGAAACTGAGGGAAGGAAGGGCTAGCCATCCACAGACTGCACAGTGTGAGCTTTTGGCCCTGAAGCCCTCATTTTTAAGTCAACTTCAGAATCACCCCCTACATGATGGTATTTCTTGCCTATTTGATCTTCCTAGGAAATAAGGCTCCTCCAGGAAAGACAACAAGGAGGACACAGTAGTTCTTGATCTTAATGACCCAGAAACTATTGATAATTGATCCTCATTTTATCTCCTGAAATTTTCTTTTAATTAAGAAAATGGTGTGTATTGATATTATTTCTTCAAACATATTTCCAACCTAAAACAATTAAAAATAATAACATAGCACAAACAAAGCTAGCAAGGGACTTGGTGAGCAGATCATGATGTGTTTAAGTGCACTCCTCAGTCATACTACCAAAGCAAATGGGCAGCCAAGAAGAGTGCTCTGAGTCTGAAGTGAAGCATTACTCCAGACTGGAAGTTTTCAAATTTGGAAGGCATTAGTTTATCACTTTGTTAAGGAACACACTATTCAAAGACTTGGCTGGGACTGAGCACTACCCCAGCTGTAACTAATCCACGGGTAAAGTTTACAGGGGTCAAACACGATGGGGGCGAGGCATGCACTCTACCACCGTGAACTGTTTCGACTTCTCCAACTACAACTATCACATTAAAAGGACAGAATAGAGCAGGTAAGAGGCTAAATTCAAATATGAAGTCTGTGATGATGTGACCGGTTATGCAGTTAGAACCAGTAAGAGATTCAGTGGCAACAATACAACTGTTAGGTCAAGTGTATGAGGGGTGAGGCCCCTTCAGGGCAGCTGCAAAGAGAAAGCCCCTATTAATCCTTTAACTAAGCAGCTGATTTAATCTTTTTGTGTTTATGGTATAACTCTTCAAACATAGGATTATTGTAAGTTAAAAAAAGTCAGCACAGGATATCAAAGCTTTTTATAGATTTCTTCATCAAGTTAGCAGATAATAGAAAATAGAATTTTGAGGGCTTCTTGTTACAATTCACTGTCATCCTGGATTGAAAAGTGGTAAGAAAGCTTCATTGCCTGACTTGTTCACAAAAAGAATAGGTATCTATGTGAAGAGGGAAGAGATCTCAGTCTCTTGCTTTGGGATCTACTTTCTTTTGATTTTGCATCCATTGTTATTTAAAATAGCATAAAAAGACTCAGCCCATGTTATTTTGCACAGTAGTATGAGAAAAGAAACCACTTTACCTGGTGTAATCTCCTTTAGCTTCCTGGAATAAAAAACAAAAATAGATGGTCGATTTGTATTTATGTTAATTAAGCTAAATGAACTTTACTCTTGATCATTTACCCCTCTTAAAGTCCCTGAATTGTCTTTTGTTTTGAAAAATGTACCAAGGAACACTTTCTCTACCTCTGCAGGGAAGAATGCGGTGTCCTTAAGGAAACACTAGTAGTCATAAGCTGTCTATTGGAACAGCACACTTTTCAGTTTGGGAGCAGACCTTTTAAACCATGACACAGGTAAATCAACACATGCTATTTGTTTACGCTTTTTAAACCAGCATGGGGCATGCTTGGTTTTTTAGTTACCAGTACTTTTAGGAATTAAAGAGCTCTCTTGGGGTGGTGAACACACACTACAATGTACAGATGATGTGTTGTGGAATTGAGCATCTCAAACCTGTATAATTTTGTTAACCAGAGTCACCCCAATAAATTCAATAAAAAGGGGGAAAAAGAATTGAAGGGCCCTTTAACTCAACCTCAAGAAAATGTAAATGAAAGTTACTAAGTTTAAATGACAACTGCAGCCATTGTAACAACTGCTGCCCTTCAGGTAACTCAGAGCTCCTTTCCAGGAAGATGGTCTTAACTCTTCCTTTAGAGCAGTCCAAATTCATTTTCCTTTGAGATATACAATCTCACCCTGTAGCTCATACAAACTATACCAAAACAGAACATGGTGGCTCACATTTTTTCGTCGGCAAACAAACTCCCGGCTTAAAAATCCATCGGCAACTGGCCCCTGCAAAAGTTTCGTAGTGGCAGGCCGTTCATAAAAGCAACAAACAAAAAGGAGCAGCTGGTTCGTTCTTACCTGTAAAACCAGCGCGGCTAACTTGAAGACGGTTTCACTGTCTACTTCAATTTGCCCCTGTTGGTGGGAAAGGAAAGCATCAGTGGACTCAGGCCACCCCTGGTTGTAGCAAAAGGCTGTGGAGTTGGAGAAGCTGTCAGAGTTTGGCACCTCAGTGTGGGATCAAATGCAGATCATACCATTGAGAGAAAGGCGGGGGGGGGGGGGGGGGGAGGGGGCGGGGTCGGGAGAGGAGCTGTGCAGAGCCGCCTCTAGGGTTAAGAGAAAGCCACATTTGTGGGTGGGTGTGCGTGGGTGTGTGTGTGTGTGGGGGGGGAGAGAGAGAGAGAGAGAGAATTAGCTAGCTGTGGGAGTTTATTTAGAGAGCACTTCTAGAAGGAACATGAATGACTTTGAGGCTGAAAATTCAGACAACTTCTAAATAAATAATTTATGTCTCTACAAGTTTATTTATAAACTATGATATTTTCATAGATCAGTTCAGTATTTTCTTGAGAATTTTTTTTTCTTTGTGTCATAGCATGCTCATTTTGGTATCCATACAATGCAAATATTGTTAAAAATATAAATTCACTTCTGTGACAGTGACACATTATTGAATTAATATTTGTACCATTATAGATAAAGTGTAAAATCTTAAAAAGTAGTTACAGCAAATGCTTCAAAGACTAAAATTCTGTTGCTTTACATTGAAGTTTGATGAGCTCTAATTTGTCATTTTTCATTATTTTTTTTATCTTTCAAGATCTCAAATACAATAGGAGTTCTGGGCTTGTTAACAGAAATGCTTTTTCAATGGCCTGATTGTAACAATAGCAGTTGTTACAAGTGTGTGTGGAGGGGATGTTGCATCTATCAATAACACTCAAATGCACCTTCATTTATTTTGTTAAATACAGTTACATATGTAAATACTGTCTCTGCATTATGGAACATAATGTAACAATATGTGGTTTAGAAGGATCTCTATTTACAAAAATTTTTGGTGATATTCTTGCTTGTAAGCATGCACACACGTAAAAACAGTTCCACATCACCCACCCCTTGCCCAGGTCCTGTGTAAATCAGCACTTGAGGGTGCATAGTATTTAATGATGTGGAACTCTTGGGCCTTGAAGTTGCCCTGCTCTGTCTCCTTTTCCCTTTTACCTGAGAATCCAGGCTGGAGGTTTTTCCAGTTATACCAAGTACAGCAATGGGGAGCAATTAAGTAGATCAGAGTAAAGGCACACTCAGTGGATTTACAGAAGCAGTTAGCTCTGTGAAGTTTTCTGGAAGGATTATATTTTTCTCTCAGGTTTCTGAATGATTTCGCTGGGGTTTTCAAAAACAAAACAAAACTAAACTAAACTAAGGCCATAAAATGAAATAAACAAATGAAACACCCAGAACATTACAATGTCAGTAGTGATAATTATCCATTTTTCTCTTACATTACAAAATAAACACAAATTAACTTCATTCACCAACACTCAAGTGTCCCTTCTGAAACCTGAGGCAGCTGCTCCGCTTCAAAGTTTTCTGCTTCACAAGCTGAAAGGCCCATAGCCTTGGAATTTAAAGCTCGCCTATTATCTCTAGAAACAGATTATACAATCAAAGAGAAGCCAGGTTGATGGTAGAAATTAATTGCCCTCTGTCTTTCAGGCATGAGGCAGTGGTTTTCTAATCTGGTGAAAGATGATGGAACAGTTAACCCAACAGGTGAGGTGGGTGTTGATCAAGATTAAATTTTAGAAAGATTAAATTCCTTGCTTTCAAAGTAAAAGAAACTCATGTAGAGTGAGGGGGGTGGGGGAAGAGGAGAGGAAATTCTAAAGCATCTTTGAATTTGAAATTAGGCTTAAATTCAAAGTTAAAGTTAAATTTGTCTTAAAATCTTAGAGAAGAGAAAAAGTGCATTATTTTAGGTATTAAAATAACTAGAGCTGAATAAAATATATTGAAAATATTTGTCATCCCCTCAAGATCCCTTTTGCTTCATCAGAACCTTAGGTGAGTCATCCAAACAATACTTTTTAAAAGATTTTATTTATTTATTTTTAGAGAAAGGGGAAGGGATAGAGAAAGAGTGGAGGAGAAACATCGATTAATTGCCCCTCTCCTCAGCCAGGGATGGGCCCACAACCCAGGCATGTGCCCTGACTGGGAATTGAACCGGTGACCCTTCACCCCGTGAATGATACTCAACTAACTGAGCCATGCCGGTCAGGGCCAAACAATATTTTAGATACCAACTTTTCAATTTAGTAAATGGAAGTTCAGCAGATGGAAGACTTCAAACAGATACTGTTAAGGATGCTGCCAAATAATTCTCTACCTTAGAAGGGTCATTAAATATTAAAAACACTGAAATGTGGAGCTGGAGCATGGAAGTACCAGGTTGAGACAGCTCCAACAGAGTCAGGAGGCAGGCTCACAACTCACTTGTAGACTTTCTTACCGACACGAGGGACCCCGACACAATCCTGGTGGAGGGGGGCTGTGATAGGCTGGAGGGGTGGGCCCTATCAAAATCCAGGGAGAGAGAGAAAGCATAATTTGGCAGTGCCCTGCATTCTTTCATATACCTCAGCCCCCACCTCACCCTCAGGCTAACCTCTGTTCTTGAAATGCAAGGCAACCTATTTTGACTTCTAACACTCATGTCAAGATTAATTGACTTTTGCATGGAATTCACCAAACCATGGATAAACCAGAACTAATATTATTTGCTTGATTCTCAGCAATTCCACATAGTGAAATTTAATTTAGACTTACACTGAACTCTAGAATTTCATGCCTAGAGTTTAAAAGTTCTTTAGAAACTGCAGTCTGGCCTAGGACAGAACATTTCTTTTACTTACAACCACAGCAACAGAGGTAACCTTATAGGTACTAGGCAAACTAACACTTGAGAAATGGATCTCCTCAAAGAGAGAGGTAATGGGATCCTTCAGTGGGTTTACATGACTGTCAAGGATAAACAAAGAGAAGCAGAGAAGTCAGTCAGATGATGTGGCTGAATGCACAGAGGTAATATAAAACAGTATCAAGTCCTGGTGCTTCACCCTCATGGCTCATTTAACTGGACTGTGGATTCAATCACTGGGTCACTGGGTTCAGGCTCCCACATTGGATACCTTATTTTTTCCCCTGGCTTGTTGGCTTAATTGATGGAGACATCATGCTAATGAGGTGAACTCACTTCATTATTGCTTCCCAAATAGGAGAACAAAGCACAAGGCAGTTTTAGAATGTGAGAGTAAATTCAGTGGAAGTATGACTCCTGTTATTTTACAGATGATGGCACTCCACAGGGACATGATCCTCAGTGCATTACCCAATCCCATAGCAGATATTACTCTGGGCTCCCCGCCGTGCCCTTCCCACTCTGCCAAGCACTAGCTAACTTTCTAGACTCCAGTGCAAATATCTCACCAGATATGTTACAAAGCCATGCTCTGTTAAAAACTGGAATTAGGTAGATTGGAAAAAAGACTGTCCCTCTGCTGTTAGTGGAACAGTATGTCATCATCAAACACACACATTCATAAATGAATGGGAAAATAATTTCTGAACAGTCATTCTGCTTGTTCTGTATAGATGTTGTCCATGGAAATGATTCTGCATTATAACAATGGGCATTAATAACTTGGTCACAAATACTTAGGATTTAGAACAACTTGATAGTTGGGAGACCTCAGTTTACATACAAGTCTATTTCCAATTACTTATATATTTTAGGGGTAAGTCTAAAAAAAATTAACTTGTACAATACTGACAAATGTAGAAGAAATGAAAGAGACAGAAAGTTACCACTTGCAACAATCATAGTACTAATCGATTCAGACAGAGACTTCAATAGATAAAAACTATTGGGACAAAGTTAGAGGAGAAATAGGACAGGATAGTTACATAATCTCAAAGGATCTGGCCTTGGAGAAAATTAATTACAAAGGGGAAAATGGTAACTCTTCATGGTGAATTGAAACCTGACAGATATTGTCTTAACCAATGAACAAAATATCACCAATAATTGGATACACCAGCATGCTGTGCCTTTTGATGGTATGCAATGTGGACACAACTACATGCAGTGCTGCGCTATAAATGTAAATGTTTCACAAACAGAAATCTGGGGGTAGGAGTAGAGAGGAGAGTCCTGATTTGTAGCATTTGTTGATATTCATGGTGTAAATACTCCCACCTTGGCTGATTTTCAAGCTACCAATATGATATCACAGAACGTGGCTTTGGGAAAAGATGTGAGAATTGGCTGTCATAGCTGGTACTAGCTGGGTCCTGCACACCATTGGTTAGTATTCCTGCCAAAAATATATCATTAGATCTAATCATGAGGAAGCATGAGAAGAAACCAAACCTAGGGGTGTTTTGTAAAATATCTGGCCCACACTCTTTAAAAATGTTAATGTGATAAATGACCCCCCCCCCCAAAAAAAAAGAAAAAAAGAAAAGCTGAAAGCTGTTCCAAAGGAAAGGAGATAAGAGTTATAACTAAATGCAGTGCACTACCTTGAATCAAGAGAAGTTGTTATAAAGGGCATTATTGGTACAACCAGATTGTACAATATATTAGGCGATGGTATAGATTCAGTGTTAAATGTTCTGATATGAACATTGTTATGTGGTATTTATATAAAGGATGTCCTTGATCCTAAGAAACATTCAGTGAAATATTTAGTGATAAACAGTGTAACTTACCCTCAAATGCTTCAGGAAAAAAAAAATCACACTTACTGGTGGGAGGGAGGGAGAAAGAGAGAGTATGTGAAAATGTGGCAAAATGTTAACAAATGGCAGATTTATCTGATAGACATACTGGCATTTTTGTGCTGTTCTTGCAACTCTTCTGTGAGATTGAAATTCAAAATAAAAAGTTTATTTAAAAAAAAAGACATTTTCCTAGAGTGGAAGATACTGATTTTTCTTGACTGCCTAGTATCCCTCTCTTATTCTGAGCAGAATATCCCATTCTTTTGGAGAAGTGATTCTTTTTCTATTGGCTCTAGTGAAAACACAATCATCCTTTTGTGGGCAAATAATGGATGCTGGTC